GGATAAAAAGAAACTTTTAAACCCCATTTTCCGGTTATTAGGGATCTTTGAGTTTATGGATTTTTTGGGGTAGCAGATGACGTTTTTTGTTTTTTTTTCCAAGATTTTTTTTTGCTGAAACAGCAAAAAATATGACTCCAAGTCAATTCGAAACCGCGACATTTTTGAAACAGGTCATTTCGAAACGGCGAGACACTTCGAAACCAGTCAGTTCGAAATGACTGGTTTCGAAGTGTCACGCAGTTTCGAAATGACCAGTTTCAAAAATGTCGCGGTTTCGAATTGACTTGGAGTCATATTTTTTGCTGTTTCAGCAAAAAAAAATATTGGAAAAAAAAACAAAAAACGTCATCTGCTACCCCAAAAAATCCATAAACTCAAAGATCCTAAAAAACCGGAAAATGGGGTTTAAAAGTTTCTTTTTATCCCCAAAAAAGGAGTTCTTCTTTTTTAAAATGCATTTCTTTTTCCGCGGACCCGCCGAAAAAAAAATCAGTCATTTATAGACGTTTTTTCGAGAGAATGGGTCGGCTTTTTTTTTGCAATGTTGCTCTGTTTTTTCTTTTTTTTTCCAAGCGGAAAAAAAATATAAAAAAGGAGCAACAACACAATTAATTGCATTTTTCTTTCCTTTTTTATTCTTATTCATCAGGAAAAATGGGAACATTTTTCCAGATTTATAAGAAAAAAGAGAGAAAGCCTTGATTTTGAAATTTGAGAAATTCAGAAATTCAAATAGCTAATCTCGAAAATTCAGTAATTTTGAAATTCAGAAATTCAGAATTTCAGAAATTCATAAATTCAGAAATTCAGAAATTTAGAAACTCAGAAATTCAGAAATTCAGAAATTTAGAAATTCAGAAATTCCAGAAATTCAGAAATTCCAGAAATTCAGAAATTTAGAAATTCAGAAATTCCAGAAATTCAGAAATTCCAGAAATTCAGAAATTCAGAAATTCAGAAATTTAGAAACTCAGAAATTCAGAAATTCAGAAATTCAGAAATAAGAAAAAAGAGAGAAAGTCTTGATTTTGAAATTTGAGAAATTCAGAAATTCAAATAGCTAATCTCGAAAATTCAGTAATTTTGAAATTCAGAATCTTTGAAATACCGAAAATCTAAAGTTACGATTTTATGGAATTTCCGAAACTTTGAAATTTTCGAATTTTTTCGAATTACAGATAACTTTCAGATTTTTAGAAGAACTACCGTAAAACCTGTATTAGAAGGGCTTTTTTAATAAAAAGAGTCCTTAATAGAAGAGCCCTCTGAGAGGGGGTTGATAAACTAGAAGAGCCCCCTGTAATAGAAGGGCCCTCTGTGAAAAAGGACCCTCTCTCTTCAAAATGTGTTTTGAAATCAGAAAATTTCCGTACTTTTTCAGTGACACTGTGAAACCAGTCATTTCTGAACTATGTGACACTTTGAAACCAGTCACTTCGAAACCGCGACAAAAACTAGCCGGAAAAATAGAAGAGCCCCCTCTAATTGAAGGGCCCCATAATAGAAGGGCCCTTCGAAGACACCTTGGAACAATAGAAGGGTCCGCCTTTCTAATACAGGATTTACGGTATTTTGAAGTTCAGGAACTTTTTGGATGTTCGAATTTTTTTCAAATTTCAGATGATTTTCAAACTTGTTGAAAGAAATTCTGAAATTCCCAAATTTTCCTTGATTTTAGGATTTTTTTTTTCGAAAATTCAAAAATTACAAAAATCTCTCATGAATTCATTGCAATTGAAAAATGGGTCAAAATAAAGAAAATCACAAGAAAATGAGAAAAATTGTCACTCGAACTTTTTTTGACGTTTTTTTTTTCGACAAAACGGCAAAAATAGACATCACGAGATTTCAGAAAAAAATGAATTAATCTAAATTTATGGGTCTAGACGGAGTTTTTTTTGGGTTTTTTGGTGGAAATTTTTTTCGGAAAAAGGGAAAAACGAGGAAAATAAGAACATATGAAAAACTGAAAAAGAAGCTAGGGAGAAAAATATTGGAATAATATTGGAACAACGTTGAAACTTCAATATACCGTAATCCCTCTGATGAACGCCACTCGGACTGTCCACCTTGAGCTTGTATATCTCACTTCTTTTGAAAGATATAAAAAAAGTGATCAACTGATAAGATGTTTATCATAATATTAGCAACATTTTATCAGTTGATCACTTTTTGATATCTCTCACAGAAAATGAGATACATGAGCTCGAATTTGACGACTTGGGTAGCGTTATATTAGAGTGTTTATGGTATTTTCAGATTTCAAGATTTTCAGAGCCCGAATTTTCAGATTTCCAGAATTCAAAAAACTGATTTTTTTTCAAAATTTCAGGTTCTCAGAATCACCAAGAGTATCTGAATTCCACAATTTTTAAATTTTTTTTTCAAAGTTCTAAAGTTCTGAATTTCTGAATTTCTGAATTTCTGAATTTCTGAATTTCTGAATTTCTGAATTTCTGAATTGCTGAATTTCTGCATCTCTGAACTTCTGAATTTCTGAATTTCTGAATTTCTGAATTTCTGAATTTCTGAATTTCTGAATTTCTGAATTTCTGAATTTCTGAACTACCGAATTTCTGAATTTCTGAATTTCTGAATTTCTGAATTTCTGAATTTCTGAACTACCGAATTTCTGAATTTCTGAACTACCGAATTTCAGACTTTCTGAATTTCTGAATTTCTGAATTTCTGAATTTCTGAATTTCTGAATTTCTGAATTTCTGAATTTCTGAATTTCTGAATTTCTGAATTTCTGAATTTCTGAATTTCTGAATTTCTGAATTTCTGAATTTCTGAATTTCTGAATTTCTGAATTTCTGAATTTCTGAATTTCTGAATTTCTGAATTTCTGAATTTCTGAATTTCTGAATTTCTGAATTTCTGAATTTCTGAACTACCGAATTTCAGACTTTCTGAATTTCTGAATTTCTGAATTTCTGAATTTCTGAATTTCTGAATTTCTGAATTTCTGAATTTCTGAATTTCTGAATTTCTGAATTTCTGAATTTCTGAATTTCTGAATTTCTGAATTTCTGAATTTCTGAATTTCTGAATTTCTGAATTTCTGAATTTCTGAATTTCTGAATTTCTGAACTACCGAATTTCTGAATTTCCGAATTTCTGAATTTCTGAATTTCTGAATTTCTGAATTTCTGAATTTCTGAACTACCGAATTTCTGAATTTCTGAATTTCTGAATTTCTGAATTTCTGAATTTCTGAACTACCGAATTTCTGAATTTCTGAACTACCGAATTTCAGACTTTCTGAATTTCTGAATTTCTGAATTTCTGAATTTCTGAATTTCTGAATTTCTGAATTTCTGAATTTCTGAATTTCTGAATTTCTGAATTTCTGAATTTCTGAATTTCTGAATTTCTGAATTTCTGAATTTCTGAATTTCTGAATTTCTGAATTTCTGAATTTCTGAATTTCTGAATTTCTGAACTACCGAATTTCTGAATTTCTGAATTTCTGAATTTCTGAATTTCTGAATTTCTGAACTACCGAATTTCTGAATTTCTGAACTACCGAATTTCAGACTTTCTGAATTTCTGAATTTCTGAATTTCTGAATTTCTGAATTTCTGAATTTCTGAATTTCTGAATTTCTGAATTTCTGAATTTCTGAATTTCTGAATTTCTGAATTTCTGAATTTCTGAATTTCTGAATTTCTGAATTTCTTAATTTCTGAATTTCTGAATTTCTGAATTTCTGAATTTCTGAATTTCTGAATTTCTGAATTTCTGAATTTCTGAATTTCTGAATTTCTGAATTTCTGAATTTCTGAATTTCTGAATTTCTGAATTTCTGAATTTTCTTAAAATGACGCATTCAGAAAAAAAAATTTGAGGAAAGAGAAAAGATTTTTATAATTTCCTTTTTCTGCAAAAATCTGAAGTGACATTTTCATGTTTTCCTTGAGAAATGACGTCTTCTGGAAAATGGGAGGATTCAGAAGAGTCTAAAATTAGAATTGAAATTCTGAAATTCCGAAATTACAAAAAATCCAAATTTTCAGAGCAAAAAAGGTTTTTAGGAAGAAAAATGATCACAATTTGAGGAATTGAAGGGAGGGTGACTAGTTCCGAAAATCCTAAAACCCAGGATTTTTGGGATTTTCGGAACTAAAAATCTGTGTCTCGAGACACAGATTTTCGTGGATTTTCACGGGTTTTAGATGAGATTTCACCCGAAATTACAGATTATCATGATGAATTTTAGCGGAAATTTGGCCAAGAAACGGGAAAAAACAAAAGTGATGTTGAAAAAAAGGGAGTTTGATGTCAAAAAAATACTGAAGGGTCTGAAAAAAATGAATCATGCCAAAAATTTCGAAATTCGGAAGATCGGAAATCCAGAAATTCAGAAATTCAGAAATTCAGAAATTCAGAAATTCAGAAATTCAGAAATTTAGAAATTCAGAAATTCAGAAATTCAGAAATTCAGAAATTCAGAAATTCAGAAATTCAGAAATTCAAAAATTCAGAAATTCAGAAATTCAGAAATTCAAAAATTCAGAAATTCAGGAATGCAGAAATTCGGAAATTCAGAAATTCGGTAGTTCAGAAATTCAGAAATTCGGAAATTCGGAATTTCAGAAATTCAGAAATTCAGAAATTCGGAAATTTAGAAATTCATGCATGCAGAAATTCAGAAATTCAGAAATTCAGAATTTCAGTATTTCAGAAATTCAGAAATTCAGAAATTCAGAACTTCAGAAATTCGGAAATTTAGAAATTCAGGCATGCAGAAATTCGGAAATTTAGAAATTCATGCATGCAGAAATTCAGAAATTCAGAAATTCAGAAATTCGGAGTTTCAGAAATTCAGAAATTCAGAAATTCAGAAATTCGGAGTTTCAGAAATTCAGAAATTCAGAAATTCAGAAATCGAAGAAACCTTCGATTTTTGATTTTTGGTTTCTATTATTCTTTTTTGTCAAAATTAATAATTCATTGGGTGCCATGTGCCAAGGAGAGGCAGTTGAACCTTAAAAAGACAGAAAACCGACATAAGAAGTGACAGAAATCAATCAACTTTTCGAGTTTTTTGACAACACCTTTTTTCGTATGCATCTACTTTTTTTGAAGATCAAAGAAAATAAATACGGATCAAAAATCTTTTAACGTTGGAAACTTGGAACAAAAATCAAGAAAAATCAAGAAAAATCTAGAAAAATCTAGAGAAACCTAGATAAATCTCTACAATTCTAGATAAATCTGGAAAAATCTGGAAAAATCTGGAAAAATCTATAAAAACTTGAAAAACTCTACAAAAGTCTAGGAATTTCAGATTTTCAGCATTTATTTTTCCAGAAAATTAACATGTTGATCTTTCCTAATAAACAATATTCTTGAAAACTGAAAGTTGCCTTGTACAGAAGGAGAGGAAATTAATAAATTATTCAAATTGAATTCCTCATTTCTCCCCTTTTCCGACTATATAATTAATTAATTCCATATACTTTTTAGTAGAGAACTGGACAAGAAATTAATCAGATATTTATGAACTTTTAGTTCCACCCAGTCATGTGAATTTATTTAAATTAGATTTCAAACGAACAGGTGAGTTCGGTGTTTTGAAGATGTTCGAAAATTCTGAATTTCTGAATTTTTGGGATTCAATTTTGGAAAAGTCCCTGGGTCCTGGGTCCTGGGTCCTGGGTCCTGGGTCCTGGGTCCTGGGTCCTGGGTCCTGGGTCCTGGGTCCTGGGTCCTGGGTCCTGGGTCCTGGGTCCTGGGTCCTGGGTCCTGGGTCCTGGGTCCTGGGTCCTGGGTCCTGGGTCCTGGGTCCTGGGTCCTGGGTCCTGGGTCCTGGGTCCTGGGTCCTGGGTCCTGGGTCCTGGGTCCTGGGTCCTGGGTCCTGGGTCCTGGGTCCTGGGTCCTGGGTCCTGGGTCCTGGGTCCTGGGTCCTGGGTCCTGGGTCCTGGGTCCTGGGTCCTGGGTCCTGGGTCCTTTGTTTGGAATCGTCAGGTTTTCTATCAAAATTTTGATATTGAAAAAAAAAGTTTTTCTTTCAAAAAATACCCGGAAATCACATCATTTTCTAATTCAAAAAATGTCTATCATCTTTTTTTTGTTTTTGATTTTTTTAAATATTTCCTCCCCTGACATCATCAAATAATCTCTGCAAACCTTCCCTTTCTCCCCCTCTTTTCACTTCAATTTCTCATAAAATTCGTAAGATCCACAAAATCCAAAAATCCTATTTTAATCCGTTCCGAAAATTCTCACCTGGCCTTCTTTTCAGGTTCCATTAGAGAAAATTGAATTTTATAGAAAATTAGATTGAAAATCTCCAAGAAGACGGAATTGTATTCTGGATTCTGAAATCTAAATTAGAAGTTCGGAACTATAGATTTCAAGGGACCCAGGTACCCATTTTTCGACAGACATTTCAAAAAAAATTCAAAATTCGTAAATTTTCGATCTTTTTTTCTGGTTCACTAGTTGAATTTTTGATCATTCTCGAACAAAAAATTAGCGCCAATTTTCAAAAAAAAAGAATAAAAAACACAAAAACAGCACAAAAAATGTGCTGAAAATCCAGGAAAAACAGAACATCAAACAGGAAAAAATATGCGAAAAAAATCGGTGATGCATAAGAATTTTGGGCGGATTCTGGGAAGAATTTTTGCCGTTTTTTCAATTTTTTCTGTTAGATTAACACGAATTTCCGATTTGGATAAGTTGAAAAAAAGAGAGAGAGAGATATTTGGGATGATTTGGATGAGATATGGTGCATCGATCAACTGAAAAATGACGAAACTTGGGGAAAAATACAGTAATCGAAAAAAAATTTTCGAAGAAATTCAGAAATTCAGAAATTCAGAAACTCAGAATTTCAGAATTTAAGAAACTCAGAAATTCAGAAATTCAGAATATCAGAATTACAGAATTTCAGAATTTCAACATTTCATAATTCCTGAACTTCAGAATTTCAGAAATCCGGAAACACAGGAATTCATATATTCAGAAATTCAGAAAAATAGATTTTCAGATATTTCAGAAACTCAGAGTTTGAGATTTTCAGGATTTGAGAATTCCAAAACTTCAGAATTTCAGAAATCCGGAAACACAGGAATTCATATATTCAGAAATTCAGAAACTTAGATTTTCAGATATTTCAGAAACTCAGAGTTTGAGAATTTCAGAATTTCAGAATTCCAGAACTTCAGAAGTTCCGAAAACTTCCGAATTCCAGAATTTCGGAATTCCAAAACTCCAAGATTCAAAAAAATACCAAATATCCAGAAATTCAATTATTCAAAATTTGGATTTTTCTATTATTTGAGATTTAATTCTTAAATTTTCAAAAATTTCTGAAATTTCAAAAATCCAAAAATCCCAAAAATTCTAAAATTTTCAAAAGTTTCGAAATTTTCCAATTTTTTGGATTTTTCTAGATATTTCAAAAAAGCCGAAACAAAAAAGGTGAACCCCATAATTTTTGTGTCGTTTTGTTTTTTTTCTCTTTTTTTTTGGAAAAAAAGAAAAAAAACAAAACGGGAAAAAAATAATTTCCCGGCACTTTAGCCACGCATTTTTAGAAAACGGGAAGGAGAAAAAAAATGAAAATTGAACTAAAAAAGGGTATATTTTTCTGAGAAAAAGAAGAAAAAAATGCGGATATGACGATTTTTGCAGGAAAAAAGCATAAGAAAGGAGGGAACTTTTTTTGGAAATTTTGCGAAAAATTAATTTTGGAATTTTTTTGAAAAATGTTTAACTTTTAAACCTTGATTCTGAAAATTCAAGACTTTGGTTTTTCCCAAAAATCGTAAAAAAATATATGATCCAGACTGAAAAAATATCTCCGGTAATCCCATAAAAATCCCTGGGGGACCCCCAGGAATTTTTTGTTTTTGTTTGTTGGCCTATAACTTTTGAAAAAATATGAACTGAAACCAAAAAAGTGCCATGACATGGCCGTGTAGGTGGAACATGGACTTAGGATTAGCTGGAATATTTTTTTTCTGGGAGATTACACTTTATACATATCTATTCAGTGCAAAAATTTTGCTTATTGAGTTTGCAAAAAATGGAACATTCTGAGCTCAAAAATCAGAAATTTTTCAACTACCGTAAAACCTCTAATAGAACGACACCCGGATCGTCCACTTTGAGCCTATATATCTCATTTTCTGTGAAAGATATCAAAAAGTGGCTAACTAGTAAAATGTTGCTGATATCCTGATAAACATTTTACTAGTTAACCACTTTTCGATATCTTTCAAAAGAAGTGAGATATATAGGCTCAAAGTGGACGATCCGGGTGTCGTTCTATTAGAGGTTTTACGGTATTCCAGATCATTGTGAACTCAAAAATCAAGATTATTTTTTTCTATTCAATTTTTCTTTCTTTCAAGAATCTTCAAAAAATCATAATCATTGAGAAAAATACAGTAACATTGAGAAAGTCGAAATTCCAGGATCCATCGTTCTCAGCCTTTGTTTCATTGACACTTCCGTGTATCCTGAAATTCAATAATTTGATTATTAGTTCATTGGAGCGCGTTATCACTTGTCATTATAGAGACTACACAGTCCATCGTTACTGTAGATCCGGGTGTTCCTCGTTTTTCGAAATATGATTCCGTGCCACCTCTACAATATATGTTTTTTCAGCTATGGTGAGCGGGGGAACTTTTGTTGATTCATTTTTTCACAAAATAAAGTACGTAGATCGAGAGTGAAAGTCAAAATTTTCAGTTTTTCAGAAATTTTTGGACAACATTCTATGAATTGAAAAACAGTATCGAAATGTTGAAGTACAATTTTATAGTCCGAAATTTAAAACAAACACTCACTCAGGGCCAAAAAGACACAAGATCATACTTGTAATCCGGGCCTTTGCCGGGCCTTCGCGGGCCCTGCCATAATTTCTTTCAGAATCGATATTTTCAAACCAACTGAGTTCGATATGATAGAGCTCCACGAGTATTACAAAAAGGTGTTATTTGGAATACTGTATCTTATCTATGAACAAAATTACAGATCATAAAGTGACTTTTTTCGCAGGGCCTGGCAGGCCCTTGTTCCTTTTGCTCCGTAACTCTGTTCATAGACAAGATACAGTATTCCAAATAATACCGTTTTGTAGTACTCGTGGAGCTCTACCATATCGAACTCAGTTGGTTTGAAAACATTGATTCTGAAAGAAGTTATGACAGGGCCCGCGAAGGCCCGGCAAAGGCACGGATTACAAGTATGCACAAGATCAATGCGACACCACCGTCAATAATCCATCCCCCCATCTTTAGCAGCACATCCGATTTTTTTCTGCCTTGGCACTAAGGCTTCCATTCGGTCGGGAAATTTAGCCGACCGACCGACCACCGACCCCGCCGACCGACAGCCGATCGAACTGACCGATCGGTCGGCGCGCCGACCGTTTTCGTGCATTTGCGCTTCAACACTAAAAGCCTCGTTTGTCGTAAAATAAAGTGCATGCTTCGTACGCGAAAGTTCGTGTTTTTATGCGCAAAGACACGAAATCGGTCGGCTGTCGGTCGGCTGGGTCGGTTGGGTCGGTCGGCGGTCGGCGATTTTCGACCGACTGAAATGGAAGCCTTACTTGGCACAACAAGTTCGCCATATACACCTGGTTTGATTTTTTGAAGATTCTTGAAATGAATAAAGTATTGGATTGAATGAAGACTATTAGAAAAAAAAATAAGAAAAGTAGTAATTTAAAAATACATGAATTGTGTATTGAAGAAAACGGAAACTTCATAAATAAATTCTGAGATTTTTGAGATTCAATAAAAAGCGGATTCAAGGAAATTGTCAGTTTTGGAATTTTGAAAGGAATTTTGAAAGGATTTCTGAAAAATGGTTTAAGTTATGATATCCAAAGAAGTTTAAAAGAAGAAGTTTGAAAATTGAAAAATTTTGAAAGAACAGAATTAAAGAGAAAATGAGAAAGAGAGAGAGAGAGAGAGAGAGAGAGAGAGAGAAACGAAAAAAAAAGAGAAAATCATGGATTACGACCCAGTATCTGGTCTTGTTGCTCCTGAAACCACTGGAAATATTCTTCCATTTGTTGGTCAACTCTTGCTGCTTCTGCAGGTGCTTCAGCTGGTACTGCAGGCGCAACTGCAACTGGGCCTTCTGGTGGTGGTAGATCCGGAAAAGCGACCGTTTCGAAATTGTTGGCTGCTTCAAGACCATCGTCGCGAAGAATTTTCCGGTATTGGATGATTTTTTCAATATCTGGGGAGACCATATTGAAATTTATGTATTGGCGCTGAAAATTCAGAAATTGAAAAATTGAAATATTCAGAAATTCCGAAAGTTTTTAGAATTTTAAGATCCCGAGACTATAATTTTCGAGCTCCACACAAAAAAGAAAAACTAATCGCCACCGGTGGGGCCCGAACCCATGACCTTCAGATTGGTAGATTACATGAAGAATCCCACTTGACCATCTGAACACTTTTTCGGAAAATTGGTCAAAAATTGGTTTTCAAAGCGTTCTGGATGGTTCTAAAGCATTTTAATGTTTTCAAAGCCTCAATTTTCAAATTTCAACCTCAAAAAGCGGTAAAAACCCACCATGGCTTCTAATTCGTCGTTAATTTTTGCCATGACTGTATTTGACTTTTTCCTGACGAGCGAACAAATTTTTTTGTTCTCCTTTTCCATGAATTTGAGGCGTTCGGCCTCATTTTGCTGCAGGGTCTTCTGTCTGTAGTCGAACCACACATTTTGACGTTCATTTTCAGCTGCCTATGAAGAAAAGGAGTTTTCTAGGTTTTTTTTTTATTATTTTGAAGTGGTGGCCGAATTTTCACAAATTGAGATTTCTAGTCCACAACGGTAAAACGACCTAGACGTGGCCTGACATTCACCTGGTGTGTCTGCTAGGTCGTTTTACCGTGGTGGCCTAACTTCTGGACGTTGAGTTTTCCAGGCCACCATGGTAAAAAGGCCTAGAAATGACCTGAAATGGCCCTAGTGCGTTTCTAGATCATTTTGAAGTGTGGCCTAACTTTTGCAATTTGAGTTTTCTAGGCCACAATGGCTAACTGGCCTAAAAATGGCCTAACATAGCCCTGGTGCATTTCTAGATCATTTCAACGTGAAAATTGCAAAAGTTAGGTCACCACTTCAAAATGGCCTAGAAAGCACCCCCAGAGCAGTGTGCCTTATCGACAAATGATTTGTCGACAAACGCCCTTTTCGACAAATTTACCGGTAAATTTATCGGAAAATTACCGACAAATTGTCGATAAAAACAACATTTATCGACAATTTGTCGATAAATTTGTCGATAAAAATGCTGTTTGTCGACAATTTATCGACAAATTTATCGACAAATTGTCGACAAAAATTGCTATTAACCGCAGGAATTACTTGTAAAAATCGTATCGTTACCATTTTTTCCAAGGACTTCTAGAATGATGGAAGAACTTACCCAGGCAAACGTTATAGGCTATCTGGCTTGGTGGCCCCACTTTCACAACATGAATTTTCTAGGATTCTTTTTAGCCTAGAAATGATCTGATGTTCACCTGGTTTGTGTTTTTAGGTCATTTTAACATGGTGGCCTAACTTTCGCGCGTTGAGTTTTCTAGGCCACCATGTTAAAATGGCCTAGAAAACATACCAGATGAATATCTGACCATTTCTAGACCAAAAAAGTTGGTGGCCTAGAAAACTCAACTNACGAAAGTTAGGCCACCATGTTAAAATGGCCTGGAAAACACACCATGTTAAAATCAAATCATTTTCAGGTCAAAAAGTTTGGGGGCCTAGAAAATTCATGTTGGAAAAATTAGGACACCAGGTCAGATAGCCTAGAAAAAAAGATGAGATACGATTTTTTACAAGTAATTCCGGCGGTCAATGGCAATTTTTTGTCGATAATTTGTCGACAAATGCCCCCTTCGACAAATTTACCGATAATTTGTCGACAATTTATCGACAAAATTTTATCGTTTTTTATCAACAAATTTATCGATAATTTGCCAAGTAAATTTGTCGACAAAATCGGAAAATTTTTGTCGATAAGACACACTGCCCCAGAGGTGTGCTAGAGTCATTTTGGCTCTTTTCTAGTTTAGAGGTCCCAAAAAAGAATAGAGGTCCCAAAAAAGAATAGAGGTCCCAAAATAAAAAGAGGTCCCAAAAAAGTTTAGTGGTCCCAAGAAAAAATAGTGGTCCAAAACTTAAAAATGCACAGATACCGGAATAATGTACTAAAATTTGAATTGTGTAAGAATTTAAAGTTTTGAGGTCTTATAGCAAAATAATTGTTGATGATGTATTTTATACTTCTAATAGGCTTAGGAATGCATATTTTCTGACAATTATCTAAGCCTGAGAAACAGCATAATCACGGAGTGATTACTGTATTGCCCAAATTTTCCTCATATGTAAATTGGGTTCAAGATGCGAGAGAATTGGAGCTAAAATTGTTAGGAGTAGTCATGTCATCCTATAAGACCCTAAAACTCAAACTACTCGCACAGTTCAAATACTAGTACATTATTCCAACATCTGCGCGTTTTTCGTATTTTGGACCTCTATTTTTTCTTGGGACCTCTAATTTTTTTTGGGACCTCTATTTTATTTTGGGACCTCTAATTTTTTTTCGAACCTTTAAACTAGAAAAGAGCCGTCATTTTTAGCTCATTTTACCGTGGTGGCCGAGAAAACCCAACTTGTGAAAGTTGGGCTACCACGATAAAATGACCTTGAAAAAAACAAGGGGAATTGTAGGTCATTACATCCCTTAGCTACCACGTTTAAATGACTCAGAAAACACACCATGGGTATCTTAAGCCATTTCTAAACTGTTGTACCATAGTGGCCTTTCTAAACTGTTGTACCATAGTGGCCTAAACCCAACATGCAAAAGTTAGGCCACCATGGTAAAATGACCAAGAAATCACAGCATTTTACCATGATGGCCTAAAAAACTAGCTTTACAAAAGTTAGGCCACCATTTCTGCCCATCACTACTTACCAAATCAACTTGCTCACTGGTCATAAACCGCTCGATAGACGCAAAATGGGCGGCATGTTTCTCTTCGATCTCATCCAGTCCTTTTTGTTTGGTGTAAAACAACCAGTTCTCATAGTGAGCCATATATAGCTGCACAGGGTGATTCACCTTGAGCTGAAAATTACAAATCGTATTTTTCCGTTTATTTTCAGCGATTATGGCTAATTTTAAGAGTCTGGAGCTCGGCTTTCAGGTTTCCGATCAGCTGAAGAGCTAGGAATTTTCAAAAATTCTATCAATGCAAAAGTTTTAATCTAGGTCTGTTAAAAATGTTCAAAGTGATCGCAAACTTGACAGCCAAGCTGCAGACCTAGAAGTGGCTGAAAATCAAGGACAAACCTTGAACGCAGATTTCTGACGGTCCGGGTAGCACATTCCACCTTTGTGATCATGCGGATTCTGACATATAACACAGTGCATGTCCATGATTTTTTCACGGTCGGCAGTCACTTCCAGATATTCAATTTCCAGCATTTCTCGAATTTTAAAAATTTCCTGTTCCAGAAAATAGGGCTGAGACAGGAAATGGTATTTGGTGAGGTTAGTCTGAAACGGAACAAAGGGTTAGGTGTGTTTTCTAGGTCATGTTGATGGCCTAACTTTTGAAAATTGAGTTTTATAGGCCACCGCGTTAAAATACCCTAGAAATGGACCAACTTGCCACTGTGACCATTCTATGTAATTTTGACTTGGAGGCCTAACTTTTGCAAGTTGGGTTTTCTAGGCCACAGCGTTTAACTGATCTAGAAAACGCACCAGGGTCATGTTAGGCCCTTTCTAAGCTTTTTTTTCCTAGTGGCCTAGAAAACCCAAATTGCAAAAGTAGGCCACCAAACGGCCTAGAAATCACACCTGGGTCATGGTAGATCATTTTCAGGCCAAAAAAGATGGTGGCCTAAAAGACTTAAACTTTAAAAGTTAGGCCGCTATGTGAGAATGAAAAGAAAAAAAAACCAAACCTGATTCTCCGAAACCCCTTTCTCCCTGGCACATGCTTCCAGATGATCCTCAAATTCAGTATTGACAATATATGTTTTGCAAAGTGCGCATTCAAAATTTTCTGGAAAAAAATCGATAATTGATTTTTTGGGATCATTTTCAGCATCATTCTCAGCCAACTTCTCGGTGGTTTTAGGATAAAAAATCTCGAAACATCATATTTTCAACTTCATTTGAGTCTATATATGTCACATCTTTTGAAAGATATCGAAAAGTTGTCAACTAATAAAATGTTTATCATGATATCAGCAACATTTTATCAGTTGACAACTTTTTGATATCCTTCACAGAAGATGAGATACATCTATGAGAGTGTTTACGGTACCTAGACGATCCGCGAAGATTTTCTCGACATTGTAAACTCGATGACGAAGTTCGGATGCTCGGAGGCGGTGCTCTCGTGGTCTTCTGTGCATTTCGTGTTGGTGTCGGAGGCGATCGGCTGGAAAAATTTGAAAATTTGAAAATTTTTGAAAGTTTCAAAATTTCAAAAATAGCCAAATTTGGTATCATTTTGTAAGTTTCAAAAATTCTGAAATTAAAATTTTAAAGCCAAATAATTCCCTTGAAAATTTGAGATTTCGAAAAAAAATTCAGAGTTTTGTTTCCAATTTTTAAAAAGCCCGCAAATCCAAAAAAGGCAACTTTGGTATCATTTTGTAGAAAAAAAACCCAAAATTTCAAATTTCAGTAACGTACCTCTTCGTCGTTCGGCTCGAATCTGTTCTTCACGAAATTCACGAAGCTCCTCTCTTACAGCATCTTGATTACGTGGCTGGAACCAAATTGGATGGAAACCAGCACCATCCTGGATGGGCGGCTGTCCTGGATTTCCTGCCATTTTGTTCCTAAAATTGAAATTTTCAGCCTAACCAAGTCTTAAAATTAGAGAAGTTTAGAATTTGAAAAGATGCAAACAAAGAAAATGGGAAAATTCTGGAATTTCTAAATTCTAATAATACTCAGAGGCTTAAATTCGGAAATTTTGAAATTCTGAAATTCCAAGATCCAAAATTTGAAATTTGCGATTTCAGTGAAATGGACTATCCCCAAAACAACTCAAAAGGACTGAAATTTCAAAATTCGACATTTCCGAAATTCGGAAATGCCAGACATTCGAAAACTTTAGAAATTCAAAAATTCAGAAATTCAGAAATTTCAGACTACCTATTCTCATTTTTCAGATTTTTTGAAATATTCAAATTCCGGAATTATAGAAGTTTGGAATTTCTAGTTTTTTGACTTTTCGGATTTTTGGAATTTCAGAAATTCTGAAATTTCGGAACTAACCAAAAAATTTTTCAAAATTTCAAAATTTCAGAAATTTCTAACTATCATCAATTTCAAAATTCGAAAAACTCAGAAATTCGGAAATTCAAAAATTCAGAAATCCCTAAACTTTCTGAAATATGAATTTCCAAAACCCTGAATTCTCGAAATGTAGAAAATCAAAAAATCAAAAATCCAAAAATTTCGAAATCTAAAAAAATTCCTAAAATTCTGAAAATCTGGAATTCACAATGGGAATTACCGTAAATCCTGTCATAGAAGGGCCCCGAGACTGGCAACTTTAGGCCAATTTATCTCGGTTATTGTTAGAGATATCAAAAATGTGTCAACTGATAAAATGTTTGCGATTTTATGATAAGCAATTTATCAGTTGAAACATTTTTGACACCCGTAACAGTAACCGAGATAAATTGGCCTAAAGTTAAAAGTTAGGGGGGGCCTTCTAATACAGGTTTTACGGTAGAAGCAAGAAAAGAATGAAGAAAAAACAATTTCCAGAGAAATGAAAAAATAAAAAAATAATATTTCAGAAAATTACTGAAAATGAAAAAATAAACCAAAAAATTTGAATTTCAGACCGCTTAAAAATTATATTTCAAAGAAAAAAAAAATCAGAACCGCAAATTATTTAAAAAATCGAGAAGTCAAGAATTCAAGACAAGAAAATCGGGGGAAAACATTGTGAAATAACAAAGATGATGTTTTTTTTTTCGAAAATTCTGTAAATCTGAAAATCTGAAATTCAGAAATTCGAAAAAAAAACCGAAGTACAAGTAATCACTGTCAGGGAATTTTAGGGAATTTGAAATACTGGAAAATGGAATGGAATGACATCAAAAGTTGATTCATCTGGAATTTGAATAATTAAAGAAAAACAGGAATTTCGAGATTTCAAAAATTCAGAAAAATCAGGAAAAGACAGGAAATAAATAGGGCAATTATCAGAGACCGAGAGAAAATGATTTTCTTCGGAATTCGCCAAAAAAATTCAAATTAATCTTGGCGCCTTCCAATCGCCCCCAGCCATTTTCTGGTTTCCTCATTTCGAGCATCTGGAACATTTTGTGGGGTTGGAAAAGTGGATTTGTCAAATTCTTCCGCCGCTTCCCATCCTTGGTCCCTCAAGATTTTTCGATACTCGATGACTTTGTTCAGGTCCTTGCGACAAACGTTGCTCAGGAGGTACCTTTTCTGAAATTAGGAAATTCAGGAACTCTGAAGTTCAAAAATTCAGAAATTCCAGAAATTCCAGAAATTCAGAAATTCAGAAATTCAGAAATTCAGAAATTCAGAAATTCAGAAATTCAGAAATTCAGAAATTCAGAAATTCAGAAATTCAGAAAATCAGAAATTCCAGAAATTCAGAAATTCCAGAAATTCCAGAAATTCAGAAATTCAGAAATTCAGAAATTCAGAAATTCAGAAATTCAGAAATTCAGAAATTCAGAAATTCAGAAATTCAGAAATTCAGAAATTCAGAAATTCAGAAAATCAGAAATTCCAGAAATTCCAGAAATTCCAGAAATTCCAGAAATTCAGAAATTCAGAAATTCAGAAATTCAGAAATTCCAGAAATTCCAGAAATTCCAGAAATTCCAGAAATTCCAGAAATTCAGAACTTCAGAAATTCAGAATTTCCAGAAATTCCAGAAAATCAGAAATTCCAGAAATTCCAGAAATTCCAGAAATTCCAGAAATTCAGAAATTCAGAAATTCAGAAATTCAGAAATTCCAGAAATTCCAGAAATTCCAGAAATTCCAGAAATTCCAGAAATTCAGAAATTCAGAATTTCCAGAAATTCAGAAATTCAGAAATTCAGAAATTCAGAAATTCAGAAATTCAGAAATTCAGAAATTCAGAAATTCAGAAATTCAGAAATTCAGAAATTCAGAAATTCAGAAATTCAGAAATTCAGAAATTCAGAAATTCAGAAATTCAGAAATTCAGAAATTCAGAAATTCAGAAATTCCAGAAGTTTTTGAAAAAATACTTTCAAAATTCAAAAAATCTGAAAATCTGATATTAGTAATTCTGATAAGTTCGAAAATTTAAAATTCGGAAATTTTTTTCCAAAATTCCAGAAATCCCGAAATTTCAAAAAATTAAGAAAATTTCGAAAACTTCTAGAAATTCTAAAACGTCCTGATAATTCCTGAAATTTCAGAATGTCCCAAATATTCCAAAATAATTTTAAAAACTCCAAAAATCTGAAAAAAGCCCAAAAATTTGAAAAAAGTCAAATTTCTGAAATACGGAAATTCGGAAATTCTGGGATTCAAAAATTCTCACCATGAGCCCCGCCTCTCTTCTCGCCACTGCCTCGACCTGTCGCTTCTTAAATTCGTATTGCCTCCGATATTCCTCATTGGCATGCGCCATGTATTCTTGAAGTTCTTTCGCATTGGGCTCCGCTACCCTCTCCCGGAAATCTCTGTACTCCGCTTGGCGATTTTGTTCCGCAATCTGAAAATCAGAGAAATCGGTTTTTGGGTCAATGTGATGTACAAAATCGTATTTTTCAGTTGATTTCCATTTTGACCATTTTCAAAATTCTAGAGCTCGGCTGTCAAGTTTTCGATCATTTTGAATATTTTGGAGGGTGTAAAACAAAATTTTGATTTCACAGAATTTTTTTTATATTTCTTAGTTTCAAATATTTGTCGATTTCTGAAAGACACTCTTATTTGCAATTTTTCGCTCAAAAATGACTTGAAATCCGACCAATCGGCTGTCTTCATCGATTTTGGATTTTGTACTCCTCGTGGACAAGTCGACGCGCGAAATTTGAATTTTTGGGTTAGAGAGCAGCAAAAAACTTGGTTTCTTGGTGTAAAATCACTGGAAATCAGGAACAATCGAACATTTTCACTAAAAATTGAAGAGTTCGTGTTTTGTACTTCTCGTGGACAATTCGAATTTGGCTCGTTTATGTACGGAAAAATGGGAAAAACACGTGTCTTTCAGAAATCGGTAAATATCTGGAAAACTAGGAATTTTCTAAAAATTTGGTAAATGTGAAGTTTTCAATCTAGATCTGATTTATACCTTCCACAATTTTCAAAGTGATCGAAAATCTGACAAGCGAGCTCTAGACCCCCTGAAAATGCTCAAAATGGCTAAAACTCAACATAAATTTTTATTTTCGTATATCTTATTGAGCGTTACTGTAGTTCTTACCACGTTATCTGATGGAAAACGTTGGTCCACTTCTTTTTTCATCTTTTCAAATTCGTTTTCATGTGCTTGACGGATTTGTTCGATTTCTCGTTCTTTTTTGAGCTCCAAATGGGTCTCATAGTAGCACATATGCAAATTTAGCATTTGATCCATTTTTTGCTGAAAAAAAAAACAACGTTTTCGAGAGTTTTCGAGACATCTCGAGACTTCTCGAGACTTCTCGAGACTTACCAAAAATGCCTGCTTTTGAAGATTCGGGACACAATCTCCATTCAAGTGCTCATTGTATGTCTTGCACAGGACACAATGCATCTTGTGCACCGTCTCTTTATCCCAAAGAACTTCAAGAAACTCGATTTCCAACTCGTCCCGGATTGCAAACATTTTTTGGTCCAGCATGTAGTTCGTGGACAAGAATCTATATTTAGGGATATGTGTCTGGAAAAATGAGTGATTTCAAAGTCTCGAAAAGTCTCGAAAAGTCTCGAGTAGTCTTGAAAAGTCTCGAGAAGTTTCGAGATGCCTCGAGAATCTTCGAAAAATCTAGAAAAGTCTCAAAAAGTCTCGCAAAGTTTCGAGAAGTCTCGAAAAGTCTTGAGGAGTCTCGAGAAGTCTCGAGAATCTTCGAGAAATTTCGAGAAGTCTCGTAAAGTGTCGTGAAGTCTTGAGAAGTTTCTAGAAGTCTCGAGAAGTCTCGAGACGTTTCGAAAAGTCTCGAAAAGTCTCGAGAAATCTTGAGAAGTCTGTAGAAGCCTCGAAAAGCCTCAAGAAGTCTCGAGACGTTTTGAGAAGTCTTGAGAAGTTTCGAAAAGTCTCGAAAAGTCCCGAAAAGTCTCGAAACGTCTCGAGGAGTCTCGGGAAGTCTCGAGAAGTTTCGAAAAGTCTCTAAAAGTCTCGAAAAGCCTCAAGAAGTCTCGAGACGTTTTGAGAAGTCTTGAGATGTTTGGAAAAGTCTCGAAACGTCTCGAGGAGTCTCGAAAAGTCTCGAGAAAATTTGAAAAGTCTCTAGAAGCCTCGAGAAGTCTCGGAAAGTCTCGAGAAGTTTCGAAAAGTTTTGAGGAGTCTCGGGAAGTCTCGAGAAGTCTCAAGAAGTCTCTAGACGTTTTGAGAAGTCTTGAGAAGTCTCGAGGTAACTCGAAAAGTCTTGAAAAGTCTCGAGAACCAAAAATACCAACCTCCTTGACATCTTTTCCGTTTTGCTGGGCGCATGGCTCGAGGTGGTCCAAGAATTCGGTTCTCACGATATCCTGGTTGCAAATTAAACATATTTCGGTATCTGTAAAAAATATTTTTTGAAAAATTCAGAAATTTTGAAAATTCAGGATTTTTTTGGATTCAAAAAGTTTCAAATGTTGATTTTTTTGGTTGTATAAAAACCGCTTTTTGGATAATTTTTAAAGAAAATATTACCAATTTTCAGCTTTTCTATTGCTGAAAATGCCCGGAAAAGCCATTTCCTAGTTCAAAACTCTCAAAAAAAAAGTAATTTTTCTCACATTCCCGCTGCCGGAAGATGTTTCTGGCCTTCTCAAAAATGTGCGAATACGGGTCGATTCTTGGACGACGATTTGGAGCTTCTTGACGCTGAAGAACACCGTTTTGAACAGCTTGCTCTGAAAATTTGAATTTTTCAAGTTTTAGAATTTTAGAATTTTTGGATTTATTTTAAAAGTGAAAATTTCAGAATTTCAGAACTTTACAAGTTTAGAATTTCTGAATTTCTGAATTTTTCGACTTTCTGAATTTCTAAATTTCTGAATTTCTGAATTTCTAGTATTTCTGGTATTTCTGGAATTTCTGGAATTACTGGTATTTCTAAATTTCTGAATTTCTGATTTTCTGAATTTTTGAATACCTGAATATTTGAATATCTGAATATCTGAATTTCTGAATTTCTGAATTTCTGAATTTCTGAATTTCTGAATTTCTGAATTTCTAAATTTCTGAATTTCTGAATTTCTGGTATTTCTGGTATTTTTGCAATTTCTGGAATTACTGGTATTTCTGAATTTCTGAATTTCAGAATTTTTCGAATTTCTAATTTTTTCAAATTTCTGAATTTCTGAATATCTGAATTTCTAAATTTCTGAATTTCTGAATTTCTGGTATTTCTGGTATTTCTGCAATTTCTGGAATTACTGGTATTTTTGAATTTCTGAATTTCTGAATTTTTCGGATTTTCGAAATATTTATTTTTTGAATTTTGGAATTCGTTCTTACCGACTTGCTGCCGTGCTTGTCTCAGCATTGCGTCCCTTGCTTGAGCAACGGCTTGTTCATTGATTTCTTCTAAAAATTGATAATTTCGATTTCCTGAATTTGGTATAATTTTCAAAATTGTGTTTCTTACCTGCTTCTCCGTCTCCTTGAAGGAAATTGTTTAAAAACCCTTGGGCTGGAATATTTGGAATTTCTGGTATTTCTGGAATTTTAGAATTTTAGAATTTCAGAATTTTTTATAATTTTTAAAATTTTACCCATTCTCCGTAGTGCAATCCTTCTTTGGGCCAAATGTTGGTCTTGTTCTGCAAATGGTTTCTTTGCGGGGAATTAAATTTCTGAGAAAGGGAAATTTGAATTTTCGAATTTCCAATTTTTTCTGAATTTCTGAATTTTTAGTTTCGCATGTCCTACCTTCAGCAAGATGAGCTTTTTCGACTTGAGAGAGAGAGAGTGGAAAATTGAGAGAGAGAGAATGGGAAATTTGAAAAATTGGAGTATTAGAAATGAAGCTACTTTAGAATTCTGGGAATTTTCGAATTTTTAGAATTTTGGAAATTTTGGGAATTTTCGAATTATGGGAACTTTAGAACTTTGGAAGTTTTCGAATTTTAGGAATATTCGAAAATTGGGAACTTCCGAATTTGGGGAATATTCAAACTTCGAGAGTTTCTGAGTTTCTTAACTTCAGAATCTCCGTTTTTTAAGTTTGACAAAAGTTCCCAAAAAAGAATATTTTCAAACACCAAAAAATTGAATTTTGGAAATTTCGAAAAATCCGATTTTCAAAATCAACATTTTATCATTTTTTACCTTTTCAAACATGAATTTGACTGTAAAAAAAATTTTCAGCGAAATATTCACATCTGAAATTCCTACTGAAAATTGCTTAAATTTCACTAGATTTTTAGAAGATTTTCCATGAAAAACTAGACATTTTCAAAATCAGTAAAAATTGGAATTTCCACAAAATCTGTAAATATCGGGAAGCGGGAGAAGGAAAAAGGAAACAACATGTATTGGTTATGTTCTTTAGAAGTAGCAAGAGAGGGGAGAAACTAGTGAGAGAGAGAGAGAGACAGAGAGAGAGAGAGAGAGAGAGAGAGAGAGAGAGAGAGAGAGAGAGAGAGAGAGAGAGAGAGAGAGAGAGAGAGAGACAGATAGGGGCTAGAGACGCAGAGGGAAAAAGGGAAGAGGGCGCTTGCTGTTCTTCTTGGCAAAAGAAATAGGAGGAAGAAGAAGGCAGACAACCAGAGAACATTGGTCAGAGACGCAGAGGATGAGAAAGAACCTCTCTGCCAACAAACAACACCTCGAGTAGCCACATACACACAAACTCGCTACATGATTCTTATCTTTTCTATCTCTCTCTCACCCTGCGTCTCTCCCAGTATTGTACTCTTTCGCTCCCTTTGGCCGCGCTCACTGAAACTCATAGAAACTCATCTGTCTCCTGTTGCCTTGCCGTGG